TTTTTTCCGTCGCGCTCACCTTTGGTCCGGTAGGGGTGAGTGATGATATTAAAAATGTATCTCAGTGACGTTGCCCAAGGTCAGCGAACACGCCCAACTTACACGCGCCCGCCGTTGGTCCAGCAGGGGTCAGTGATGATATTTAAAAAAATGTTCCTACTGGACCAACGGCGAGCGCGTGTAAGTTGAGGGGAGGGTATTCGCTGACCTTGGGCAAGGTCACTGACGTCGGAGAAAAAACGGAAAGTCGGGCAACTGAACATTAGAAAGTAGTTTTTCATTATAAGTCGATGGTATATCTGAGGCCCCACAAGTCAGTCCTGTCGTGACTTGCTCAGAAAATGGGTTTAGAAAAAGGAGACATGAGGGGGATGGACCCCACCAACCGTTGCATCCGTCATGCTCCAGGGCCGAAAATAGGTCAAATTGAGCTGCAGCGGCCCTATGCGCTTAAGTGGGTCAAGGCGTGGCTTCTTATGGAATTTTAATGGCTGTAGTGAAACGGCGATATCCTCACCTGGTTTCGTTCACCCGTCCAGATCTGTGATCTGATAACTTTTTAGAGCACAGGTGGGATCTGGGTGTTACCTGGCGTCAGAGTACAGTGGTCAAAACCTACAGCACGACCTTTGGCGGAGATTACTACTTTTTCTTCGTCGTCCCAATTAGACGAGGGCGAAATAAGCAACGAATCGTACGTAGCTGAATTACTTCTGCGTCATAGGGTTATCTTTTACAGGCTAAATCGGCAAATCCTGTTCCAATAGTCTCTTTTTTTGAAAATTGAGGTTATTGACGTGGAATATGTTCGTTAATCACTCCTCTTAATTGGGTTGCGTCCGTAATTTCATTGGCTCGTAGTAGCGGAAAGTGCCAGGCTAAACTACAACAAAGTGGCGCAATAACACAGTATCACGTGGAAAGTCAATTTTGCAGGCCCGGTGACCAGAGTAAAGCCTCAGAGGCGCATACACGCTTGTGCCATACGCTTAATAATTTTACAATACCCGGTCTACCTCATGATAGATTAAGTAAAATTCTGAACTTTGTGTTCAATTAGACCGGACTACTTAGGTAGGCTTTTAAGATGGATTATCGCGTAGCACAATCCCAAAATACTTCAGTCCCGATTGGACACCGGCTTTTGAATGAGATTCTTTCTAGTCGTCTGCGAAAACCAGATTCCATACAAATAGCTACTCTCAATGAAAACGCATTTTTCATATTCATTTTTTTATACTCTTATAAATCCAAATATATCCCATAGAAAAAGTGCGCGACCTTATGTTTTGTACTCATTCGGTAACATTCTATTCTCGAGAAAAAATATCTTCCGATTAAAATTTTTTTTTTAAAAATCCGAAAACACTTTTGACCCCAAATTATAGCTGTATTTGCGCTTAGGATTTCTAATTTATACATAGTGTACACTTTCTGTGTGAGGAGAAGCTGTCAAGAAGACATCATAAGGTGTTCATGAATTTGCGCAGTGGATACAGATCATGACGTATAACTCCATGAATAAAATGGACAAAAATGGAGAGACACGACGGTGAATAAAAGGACACATCACGGTCTTAAAAAGTCCTATAATTAGAAACGTTTTCTAAGCCAAAGGATACCCTTTCTTCGAGTACATAGAATTGAGGAAGACATAATTTGCAACCAAATTAGTGTAAACACTAAAAATTTTGCATGTTTTCTCTAATATATGGTTTAAATAGTAAGAACATTGAAAATTAATGCGAAAGTGCACACAATTTAAGTAGTAATTTGGTACGGAGTGTCATTTTCCAGAGGCCGAAAATGAGTTCGTTTTCACCGACATTGCCAGAAAACTGGTTTCGGGACTCAACTAGATAAAGCTGATGACTTTCAGCAGAAAGAAGGCAACTAAGCTGCTTCTGTCAGATGTATTAAAGCATACCAAAATGCACAATTTGGATTCAAAAGTGGTAAAAAAAGAATAAGTGTCGACTGGGTCTACAGTTGCAATTGTATTTTCCCTTTGTCTCTAAACCTGTGTTCTCTATTCAAATGTTAGCTAAGTTGATCACCAAACAAGTAACCAATTAATCTCATGAAGCTCCTTAAAAGTGTGTAATCGAAAGGCGATTGGTGGAAAAATCATTCGACTTACCAAGTCGATTTCCGCGAAATTTATGGGAAAGTGCGCATGGATTTGCAAGGTCTTTGAGTGTTGCAAAGTGAGTGCCTTACACATGTCTACAGCAAGCGCACACAATTCTATACGAGCACGTGGTTCTGCGGCCATGTGAAAGAAATCGATCCTGAAGCAACAAACCTACGGAGAAGTAAACAAATGATAAAAAAAGCTAGGATAAGTGACTGAGTTGGCAGTTGACATGACGAAAATATCAAATGAATTGTAATTTTACTGAAGCGCACCATAGTATCCAAACAGGAAGCAGGGCAACGTCTGCGTCACACTTCATTGCTAGCAAAGTACCAAGGAATCCGCACGACTTGCAACTTTGGCAGGTGGGAACACAATCTGGCACGGCCTTTGCCATTGAGATCCGTCCTTAATGGCAAAAAACAAGCTACAAATTAAATAT